GAGTGGATCAGCCAGATGGCCACGCTGCCCCAGGCCTCCAACCTGGCCACACGCATCCTGCTGCTCACCCTGCTCTTTGAGGTGCGCCCCAAAACTGTGGGGGATCCCAAAACCTGACCAGGGCACCCCAAAACATGGGAGCACCCCAAATGTGGGAGGGACCCCAAAATCTGACCCAGGGCTTCACCAAACCTGACCCAGGGCACCCTAAAACCTGGGGAGGAAACCCAAAACCTGACCCAGGACACCCCAAATGTGGGAGCACCCCAAAACCCAGGGGGACCCCAAAATCTGTGCATCTTGGCAGATATTTTGGCAGAAATTTTGGGGTTTTTTTGGTAGGGGGGTTGGGATGCTGTATTTTTGGGGTGCCCCTGATCCCCTCTAGAAGCTAAAGCTGCCCTGCGCCCACGTAGCAGAGTCCAGCTGCATGCTGCTTTGGGGTCATTTCACCTGTGTTTTGGTGSATATTTGGCAGGAGTTTTGGGTTTTTTTCACATTTTTCGGGGTGCTGATGTTTTTGGGATGTCTCAGGAGCTGAAGCTGCCCTGTGCCCGTGTGGTGGAGTCCAGCTGCGTGCTGGACGTGCTGATCAAGCTGCTCGAGGTGGTGCAGCCCTGTCTGCAGGCTGCCAAGGAGCACAAGGAGGTGCAGACCCCCAAGTAAGGATGTGGGTCTGGGACCCCCCAGAATGCTTCTAAATCCCCCGCAAACCTCTCCTGGATGCTCCCATGGCTCTTTTTCCCCCCTCCCCAAAAAGGTGGATTACCCCTGTGCTGCTGCTGATCGACTTCTATGAGAAGACGGCCGTGTCCTCCAAGCGCCGCGCGCAGATGAACAAGGTGGGGGCCTGGGGGAGTCCTGGGGGTCCTGAGGGGGTTTGGGAGGAGCCTTGGGATCCTGGGCTGGGGATTTGGGGTCTTGGGGAAATTCATGGGGTGACATAAGGGGTCCTGGGGGGACATGGGCGATCCTATGGAGGTGTTTTGGTATCCTGGGGAAGTTCCTGAGGTGACACAGAAGGTCCTGGAAAGGGGTCTCTGTGTCTTGGGATGGGGATTTGGGGTCCTGGGATGGAGATTTGGGGGCACCCCTGGAGAGGGGGTCCTCCAGGCACAGGGGAGGACCTGTAATGGTCACCACCTGCAGACCAGACCACCTGCACACCACCCTGACCAGGATGCCCTGAGTGGGTCTGGGGTACACAAGGTGGGGGTGGTCCAGGCCACTGACCCCCCCCTCCCCCATCTGCCCCTCCCCCCAGTACCTGCAGGCCACAGGCAACAACTGGCGCTGGTTCGATGACCGCTCTGGCCGCTGGTGCAGCTACAGTGCCAGCAACAACAGCACCATTGATGCGGCCTGGCGTGCCGGAGAGCCCAGCGTGCGCTTCACAGCCGGCCGGCGCCGCTACACCGTCCAGTTCACCACCATGGTGCAGGTGAGGGCCAGCCGGGGTGTGGGGACAGGGACTGGGGCCAGCCAGGGTGTGGGGACACAGTCCCAGGGTCAGCCCATGGCACATGGATGCGTCCAAGGGCAGGGGACAGGTCTCCAGGGCCACCCAGACTAGGTGGATACGGCCCTGGGGACAGCGGGTGGCACAAGGATAGTCCTGCAGTGCCACCCTATGGCACAGGGACATCTCACTAGTGTCACCCCGTGGCATGGGGACAGCCCTACAGAGTTACCCCAAGGGGAGGCAGGACACCCCCACCCCTCATTGTCACCCCCCAGGACAGAGGAACGCTCCTTGTTGACACCTGGTGGTGCGGGGAGTGTTCTCATTGTCACTCGTGGGAAGGGTGGACCAGCCCTGTTGTGACCCCCCTGTGACCCCCAGGTGAACGAGGAGACCGGGAACCGGCGCCCGGTGATGCTGACCCTGCTGAGACCCCCCCGCGCCGGGAAGGGCCGGGACGGCGAGGGGGGGGCCGAGGAGCCCGAGGGGGGGAAGGGCAAGGACGAGACCCCCGGTATGTGAGGGAGGGGCTGGAGGAGGTCTGGGGGATCTGAGGGGCCATGGGTGGGGTCTGGGGTCATGGGAGGGGTCATGGGCAGGGTCTGAGGGGTTATGGAGGGGTTGTTGGGGGAGTCTGAGGGGTCATGGGAGGGTCACAGAGGCCATGGGGGGGTCACAATGACCGTGGTGGGGGCTAGAATGGTCATGGGGGGATCAGTATGGTCACAAGTCAGTATGACCTCAGTGGCCATAGCGGGGTCACAGCAGCCATAGCAGGGTCAGAGAAGCCCCAGCAGCTGTGTGACCATCCCAGACCCCCCAGGCATGTCTGACCCATCCCTCCCCTCTCCTCACAGCGCCAGACCCACCCTCCTCCACGGACGAAGACCCCCCTTCCACCACCACCACCACGGCCACCGCCACCACCCCTCCAGCTCCCCCCTGCCCGTCCCCTCCTCCCCCATCTGCGGCCGCCCCCAGCCCCGATGACCCCCCCGGCGCGGGGCTGGACGGTGGCGAGGCCCCGGTGCGCGGGTTGGCCGAGGAGGCGGTGCCGGCCGTGCTGCGCGCCTGCGTCAGCATGCTGGGGGTGCCGGTGGACCCCGACACACTGCACGCCACGCTGCGCCTGTGCCTGCGCCTGACGCGGCAGCACAAGCACGCGCTGCTGTTCGCCGAGCTGCGCTCCACGCGCACCATCCTGGCGCTCACGCAGAGCTCCGGCTTCACGGGGTTCACCCCGCTCGTCACCCTGCTCTTCCGACACATCATCGAGGATCCCTGCACGCTGCGGCACACCATGGAGA